CAGTGGTTTGTTCATGTATCGAGCGTGAGATCAACAGACAGTGTGGTGCAGTTTTTGCAGTATTGAGGACTCTGTGTCAGTCCATTGTGGTGAAGAGTGGAACTGAGCTGTAAGGCAAATCTCTCTATTTATCGGTCTGTGTATGTTCCTACCCTCACCGACGGTCACAATCATCGGTTAAAGACCGAAAGAATGAGCTTGCAGATACAGACTATCAAAATGAATTTTCTCCACAGGGTAACTGAACTCTCCCTTAGCGATAGGGTGAGGGGGTCACTTATCTGGGAGAGACTCGGAGTAGAGCTGCTGCTTCTCCACATCGAGAGGAGCCAGTTGAGGTGGTTTGGGCATCTGGTAAGGATTCCCCATGACGCCTCCCTAAGGAGATGCTGTGGTCACTCTGGGGAAGACATGCTGGAGAGACAGTGTTACTCGACTGGCCTGGGATGCTTTGAAGTCTTCCCGGAAAAGCTGGAAAAGTTGACTGGGGAAAACGATATCTACACCTTCCTGCTTAAGCCGCTACTCCCGTGACCTGATTCCAGAAGATAATGGATGGATGGACGTAAACATGTTTCTAAACACAAGACCTAAATCTTTAAACCCCCTCCAAGCAGCTGTTGGGCAGAGTGAAACTGAGAAACTCTGAGCTGCAGGAGTGATGCAATCAGAACAGACATAAAGCTCATGTTTAACATAACAGCAGATTGGTGCTGGCTAAGAACTGGCACAGGAAAAGCAGAGTTGGTTGGACAGCTGTTCTTAAATATCCCTTGTAAAATCTGTAAAGGTTCACTGAAGTCAGACAAGGTATTTCCTCTGGCTTTTTGTTCCTCTGTGACATTTTCTGTATGGGTGTTAAATTTCCAGGTATCAAAAAGCTCTCACTGTACATGAATGGCTGTGATTAAACTTAATTACAATGTCTTTGGAAGAGAAAAATCTTCAGAAAGTATAGATTGTTCTGATTTGATAAGAAAATGATGCTGACATTTAAAATGTATAAGTGAAATGTGTTAAAGAAGGGGTTCACAACCACTGATTCTTGAGCTATTTAGTACTGTGCTACACAGAAATAGAAAATAACTTTTCTTGAAAAGATCTATATAAATGTGTGTGTGTGAACTATAGCCGAACTGAACCTATGAATCGTGCTGCTGTTGTTCGGTGTATTGTTTTGCACTATTAGTGACTAGCGTATATCTTAGATCTTTTAACGTTGGGCATTCGTTTAGGGCAGGGCTATTCAACTGGTGGCCTGCAGGCTGATTCGGCCCACTTCACACACACATAAAAAGATATAAATAAAAAAAGTACATATATTTTTTTATTTCTGGGTTTGGGTTTTGGGTTCTGTTCATTGCATTTATGATTCAATGCAATAAAATCAACAAATTTAAAAGGTACCAGATCATTGTAAACTTAGGATTATTTACATAATGATTTTAATCGCTGGATGTCCAGCACCCAAGCTGCTGGCTTTCAGAAACTGTGGCTCCCTGAGCAATTTTGTTGAATAGCTCTGGTTTAGGGTATATCTTAGTTTATATATTGGATCTTTATTTACTGTTTCTTTTTATACTTTATATTTTTGCTATTGGATGTAACTGGGAACATGTGTGCACAATTTCTTTCCGCCTCATGTACCACATACGATGCGAATGACAATAAAGAACCTTGAATCCTTGAAACCTTGAAATAATTTTATACCATGCAGTTTCCTTTTTTTGTAATTGATTACTTTCATTTGCACCACTTTCCTGCACTTGACTCAGTCACGTTTACCTTTTACTTACAAGTAAACCTTTAAGCTAATACTCTCAAAAATCAGTAAAAATTAACTTCCTTTGAAAACTTCCTTTTCTTCACTAGTTTACAGAAAAGTATCTTGTGTGTATCTTGTGTGGTTGTTTATACATATTAGTGTTAAAAAATGGGGTCTACAGTGTTAAAATAATCCCAGTCGGCACATTTGATGTATCCTGCCATCAGAGTCAGAGATTCTTTATTGTCGTTCGCATCACATGTGGTGGAACGAGAGTATGTACGCAGGGTCCCAGTTACATCAAACAATAAAATGTAAAAGAAAAACAGTAATAAGAACTAAGATATGAACTAAAAAAAAATAATAATAATAATACACCAAGCATGGCATGCTAACAGTGTGAAGTTTATCACCAAATTTTGGGGTGGAGTGGGGCATAGATGTTTAAAACATCAAAACATTTATAATGAACAGTAACTATTTTATTTTGCAATGGCCTTAAACTAGAAGAAAATGTTTTCAACTGTTATTGAGGCCAAAATTGTATATTTCCCCCCCTAATTTAGAATTTCCCCAAAAGAAATCTCGCTTATGTGCAGGAACTTCCGTAAAAATGCCTTTAACAAAGAACCTTAGTGCCTTAGTTTTCTGCCTCTTCTGTGCAGTTGCTTCAAACCTTACAAGTTGAGATTCTCTAAATTGAAATTTTGTGACTGCATTTTAACCATTGTCAAAACATTTTTAAAAAATCCAAAAAACATACATAATGTTGTATTTTAGTAGCAAATCACACATGTACTTGTTGCAGTTAAGCATTGCACATTAGTAGGACGATTTATTGTTTTTAAACATGGAATTGTGTACATGAGTGGGTTTTTTTTGTCATTTTTTAAATGAGATCAATGGGTGATGTACTTTCCAGCAGTATGCCAGTTTTTTTTCTGACAGTAAAAAAACATTGACTAAACAAACACAAACTATTAGCCTAATGCCTTCAGAGCTGTTTGTACCACATTACAAAGTTTCATTAGCTTGTGCTAAATTTAGTATGAACATAATTATATTATGCAGCTGTGGGCTTTTACTTCTTTAATTAAAATGCACTCAAGTGGCCACAGCAAAAAACGGCCAAGTGGTAAATTTTGTTCACGCATCCATGAATTTTAGAAAATGTCCGTAGAGGCAGGTAGGTGTGTGAATTATGGACTGTGTATATCCAAATAGTGCTTGTTTTTATGCTAATCACAGCCGACCTTTATCTACAGCTCTTTAAATCTTGGAGACATTTACCTGGCTCTCTGATACCTCTAGTGCGCTAAATGCATTCAAGACACCTATAATTTGTATTAATGAAGCTCTGGTTAACAACAATCAGTTACTCAGCTGTGCTGATTTTTATTTCACTTTGATTGGTGTGCAAACATTACTGTGCAAAAAATTGAAACCACTCCACATTTCTTTGTCCTTAGCTTCTTTATTATAGTCTTTCAAACTGTTAGCTTGTATCTCTCCAGGATTTCTGAAAATGTTTTAGTTTTTATTATTTGACAACGTTTTGACTTATTTTGTAGCTTGTACCTGATAATGATAGCGCATTGTGAAGTGGGTTCACAAAATAGAAGTAAAGTGGGCCGGCAAAGGCCAAAAGACAAAGTGCCCTGCCTGGAAATTTATCTACAGCAGATGAACAGAATTTATCTTTAAAGAGCTACAAAAAAAAAAAAATCTAACAAGTACCTGACGCAAGACCTTTACCATTAAGTCGATCATCTACTGCGATAATATTGAACCTGAAAATCCTGTAGCCCCTCCCTGACACAAGCTGTTTTCAGATTGACAAAACATGAAATTTCAGGTTATTCTCCCATTCAGCATAAAGTGTATGTGTTATTCAAGGTTCAATGTTCTTTATTGTCATTTGCATCACATGTGGTACATGAGGTGGAACAAAACTGTGTACACAAGGTCCCAGTTACAGCCAAAATTTAGAGCTATTTTAGAGCTCCTCTAAAAACCAACCTTTAACTTCTAATCCTTCTCATCCCAGATCACGATGGATGTTTATTCTTACAGGGGGAAAAATGGAAACAATTTTCAATAAATTATTTCATGTGTCAGTTTTTAGGTAGATTGTCATGGTTATAGTCACAGACAAACCAGTGAAATGACACTGGTTTATCCTTTGAGTTCTGCTTAAATGATTCATAGGGCAGGGTTGAGCTGACTTGAACAAACAAAACCATTCTCTTTGGAAATGTGTCAGAGAAAAAGAGGGAAAAGTTCAGAACGGAATTGTAATAAAATATAAGTAAATTTTGATTAAGACAAACTTGAACTAAAACAACTTCTTGAAAGAAAAACTGTAAATGTTTTGTTCAGTAAATGGACTGCATTTATATAACATCTTATCCAGACACTCAAAGTGCTTTACACCAATCTATGTCCTCATTTATCCATTCCACTCTACTAGATCTCTACAAAGCTAATTGAACAAATCATTCTAAAGAGACTAGTCAGAGCTTTATCACATTCATACACCGATGGGACACACATAGGAGGCAATGAGGGGTTCAGTGTCTTGCTCAGGGACACTTTGGCATGTGACTGCTGGTGGATTCAAACCCCCAACTCTTGCATTGGAGGACGACTGCTCTAACCACTCACCACTCACACTCACATGAGAAAACATGAAAAGACCAAAACCAACACTTAAAGTCTTTGCTGTGCTTCCTCTGAATCAGATTTACACACTGAAACACAACAAACACACACACAGCCTGATCTCTTTCATGTTCTGTCCATTCACCTTTTATTCCTGCTTTCTTTTTCGGGTCGCAGGGAGCTGGTACCTAATTCTGGCAGTCATTGTGTAAGAGGCATGTATACTCTGGACAGGGTACAAATCCACCAGAGGATCATCAGAGACACATTGGACTAACAACCACTCACATCTAAGGTTTTAGAGTTACCAATTGACCTAATGTGCATGTTTTTAGTCTGTGGCAGGAAACCAGAGTACCCATGTGTGCACGGGGAGAACACTCATACTCCACACAGAAGGATCCCAGGTCAGGAGGCAGACAGAGGTAATCATCCATGAGGCCTGCCTGACCTCCATATACACACAGACACAAATATCCCATCAAAGGCTGGGGAACACATCTGATTCTTTTATTCTTCTGATCAAGCAGTCTAACCACACACTCACACACACACCACTCTGTTCTGAAAGCTTTCATTCCAGGTTATATGGATGAAAACCAAACATCTGGGCCTCCTCTTCATCTGTCCTTCTCAAGGGGCTGAACTCATCTGCCTCCCTCTTGTTTCTGTCTCTCTTCTAAGGATGCAGGTGGAGACCTGGCACAACTCACAGCTGATGTTTTACATCACATGTGTAGACTGCTGTATGTAAACATATCTCTGTCCACACACACACCTTTTCACCAGCAATGAGTAAACCACGTGGTATCCATTCAAATTATTTAAACTTAATGTACCTTTAGAGTGTTCCCAAACAATGGTGGGAGGTGGATAGCCTTCAGCAGAGCAGTTCAGAGTCACAGTCTTCCCATAGATCCCATCTTGGTTCTCAGGCTGAACCACAAACTGTGGAGGAACTGTTCATAGATGCACAAAAAGCAGGAGATTATCTGGTTTTACCTCTAGCAAGACAAACGAGCCATCTCAAAGTGACTTCCTGTAGGATTGTGTTATCTGACCTCTCACGATGAGCTGACTCTGGTGCTCCACAACAGCAGCTTCATTGCGGGCGATGCACGTATAGTTGCCGTTATGGTCAGGCGTCAGGTTGTTGATTCGCAGAGAGCTGGTGAAGTCGATATTGTCGACAGTCACGCCCAGGCTGATGGGGATTGGCCGGCCGTCTTTCTGCCAGGTAATGTCCAACGGTCTGTCACCTGACATGACCACACAGGGGATGAAGACCCGCTGACCAATGGTGAAACGCTGGAACTCAAAGGGCTGGATGTAGGGAGGAACTGTAGGCAGGAGAAATAGCAAATGTACTGTTGGATAACAATTTCAAAGACTACTTACTTCTTTTTACTAGGGCAAGTACTGTGTCCTTTAAAAAAATCCACAATTGCTGAATCTTTTCTTTAAAAATACAACAGAATGTAGTTATAAATAGATTTTAAATCTGCAATATTAGTTATTGCCCACTGGCAAAGGTGATAATATTTTTGCCCATGTCTATGTGTATGTGTAAATGGGTACTTGTTTGTCAAAGTTTAGTGTTTTTCATTGTCATTTGCATCACATGTGGTATCTGAGGTGGAACGAAAGTGTGTACTTAAGGTCCCAGTTACACCCAAAAATAGCAAAAGTGTAAAGTATAAAAAAGTAACAGTATACAAAGACCTAAGATATACACTAAACAATAATAATGTAATATAACATAGTATATTAAACAGCAGCCTGAACATGAGTCTGTTGTGAGTAGATGGGTATGAATGCAGCAGCTTAAAGGCAAGAAATCAGCAGCATGGATAATCAGCAGCACATATAAGTCACATATCACCAATTAAAATGACATTACTGTGGTTTTCCTGGTTAGGGAAAACTGGTTAGAGTCATGAGCAAAATGATAATCATAATCAGTTAATATAGATTTCTAATTAATTAATTAACTAACTAATTAATTGGATTAATAATAATCAGATGATTCATTAGATTGATTTTAAGAAAACTATCAGAAAGTAATTATTATTAGATTTATATTTAAAACTGATTGCCTTTTGGAATTAACCTTATTTAAGATGGCTCCCAGAGATAAGCAACCTTGACACATTTAACAATGGACACAATTAAGCCAGTTTTTACAAATATTTGCCTAAAATTAGACATTAGATGAGTGTGTATCATTCCCAATACATACTCTGTTTTTAGAACATCAGCTACTGGAGTCACCTGTGTCTGTTAGCAAAATATCTCATGAACCACTGAACAAAGCCAAAAGCCCTAAGAAAGTAACGACTGAATGTACATTTACAACCTTTTCCTTTATATTTAACCTTCATTTAACCAGGCAAATCCCATTGAGATCACAGATCTCTTTTGCAAGGGAGGCCTGGGCCTGCATGTTTTTGGTCTGTGGGAGAAAACCCACACAGGCACAAGGAGAACATGCAAACTCCACACAGAAAGACCCCAGGTTGAACCTAGGATCTTCTTGCTGTGAGGCAACATTGCTAACCACTGAGTTGTCGTGCTGCCAGACATTTTTATAGGCAACTCAATTCAAGATTACCTTCACAGTCAACTTACTGTAGGAAACAAAAATGTTAGACAGTGTGACTGTCAGTGACACAAACATTAAGCTAAAATTGGTGCAGAAGTGGCTGAATATTATCTCCAACACCTGCTTTAAGCACTAGACATCGTGCAATATGTTTGCTTGGAACATTGGCATTACGTATTCATGTCAACTCTGTTGGTCTGTTAGCAAAATATATCATAAACCACATACACGGACATATAAAACTTGTAGACTGTAATCATTTTATAGACATTAAATTTCAGTCAACCCAATACCATCAATCCATCCATCCATCCAATATCTTTACTCGCTTCTTCCTTTTTGGGTCACCAGGGTCGCCGGTGCCCATGTCCAACAATCACGGTGCAAGAGGCAGAGGACATCCTGGACAGGTCTCTAGTCCATCACAGGGACACATAGAGACAAACGAAACAAACAACCATTCACACTCTCACTCACACCTAGGGACAATTTAGAGTTACCAATCAGCCTAACATGCATGTTTTTGGTTTGTGGGTGGAAACCAGAGTATGCGGAGAAAATACACATATGCACAAAGAGAACATGCAAAGTCTGCCCAGAAGGGCCCCCTGACCAGTATTTGAACCAGGATAACCTGCTCGCTGAGAGGCAGCAGCTCTATCAACTGCACCACCGTGCTTCCCCTACCCAATACCATACTGGCCACCAAATCTAAACATTAGCAAACACTAAAATGCCTTTGAGTCAGTTAATTTTCCAAATATTTAGCTAAAGTGTGGTGTAGTAGTTGCTGAGCATCATCTTCAACAAGTACCTTGCATGATGTCACATATCACGAGATCATTAATAGTGTTATTTACAAGGTTTGGCCAAAACAGTTATCTGTGTTTTCTCAGCACAATAAGATTCTTGTTTAAAACTCAAAAGGTGGTGGTGGTATGTGATATTCTTAAAGGAATGCTAGGTTTTTAATCAAATTTGGTTATTACCTCAAATAAATCCTGCATTATAAGAAGCTGATACAGCATGAAATTTACTCTATCAGGTTAAGAAACAAAGGCAGGCTGCTCATGCAATAATAATTCATTTAAATTGGTTGTGTTATATTTTCTGGGAAATCTCCAGCAATTGCACAAGCCGTCTGCGAATACGTTCAAGTGAGTTCAAACAGCGCTGAAATAAGCAGCACTTTAGCAGTTTATTTAATTCAAAACAAAGTGGAGATAATGGACTCCAGGGATTTTCCCACAACACTTTCACATTTTAAGCATGAGTAGAGTAAATTAACAAATGCACTCGCACGCTACAGCACCACTGGGAAGTGTTGCTTTATATCATCACTCTCTCCGTTGCCATCACTCTTGTTTTTCTTGGCTCCATGGGAAAGTGCTCTAAAGTGACGACAAGCCACCGTAATGGAGTCATAATGGGGAAGCCCTTTTTCAGTATACCTACTCTAGTTGTAAGATCTCAGAGGAGATCAGTCGCTGCGTTCTGTAAAATCATGAATGAATCATGCGACTTAAACACAATATATTGAGCCAACAGTGATTTGACTTGTGTAATTTACTGCTCTTATTCCTTTAGGAATTTCATAAATAAATGTAATCGTCAAGTCTGATAACATCTATTGACCTCAAATAACTGCTGATTTTTTCTTGTTTAGAGTTTAGAAAGTATGCAATTTTGGCAGAAGCTTGTTTCTTTTCCATACACCAACAAAATACTTGTTACCCTTCATTCATTCATTCATTCATTCAACCTTTATTTAGACAGATAAATCACACTGAGCCTCAAAGACTCATTTACAAGTGAGCCCTGTTCAGACAGACAAAAAGTAGTGAAAGTGAACACATGTAGGATTTGGAGGCAAAAAAAAAAAAAAAATCCTATCAAACTCTTTCTTCTTGGCTGAGAAGAAAGAGTTTGATATTGAAAAAAACACCTCGCACATACAAGCGCATGGTGAAGTAGACGTTCCACAGGGGGTGGTGGTGGGGGGGAGACGAGACGACAAGGGCGGTGAGAGTGTCCAAGGACACTCCCAATGGCACTGTAGGAGTTCTGATAAGGATGGAATAATCAGCAGTTCCATCTGGTGAGATCCATGGACATTTTCAAAACATAAACATTCATAAGTAGGTAATTCTAATAATAAATAATAATATTTTCATTTATTTAACCTTTAGTTATATGGGTAGTCTCATATAGTATATATATATATATATATATATATATATATATATATATATATATATATATATATATATATATATATGTATTTATTTATATGTATAATTATATATATATATATATATACATATAATAGTCTAAGTTTAACTTGAACTTGTGGCCATTTACACCTATAGTATTAAATAATATGAATTATTGGATTACATACGGTCAGACAACAGCGGCGGCCATTTTAAATCAAGTTGACTCTAGCTGCATCCAACGATGACTTTCTGCAAGTCTCTTTAAAATACATCCTTTGAGTCCTGAAATATTTTCCAACAGACAGGCTAATGAACAAGTCTTCTCTTCTCAGAGACTTTTCAGTTCTCTTTTAATGAGTTTATACAAAAAGTACAAAAGTGAAAGAGATCCTAACAACCTTCAGGAGGGATGGACGGGACAGTGATCTGCCTATGAGTTCAACAACTCACCAGCTAAACAGTTTAGAATCTTGGAAATCTGCACCTTTGAGTTTTGAACTGAGAAACCTTTTTGGATAAGAGGTGAAATAATGTTAAGAACCAAATGAACACATCAAAATATCTGGTCACTTTTGATTCAGTTACTAAAGGATTGAACAACTCAAACCAAAACTAATGGCTTGTTGAAAGAACATTTAATAGAAAAAAATAAAATCTAATGTCTGCTGGTGACCTGTGGAAATGCTTTTAGGTTGTTTAATAGCTTTTTGGATATATTAAAATATTTATTGATTATTTAAAATCCTTTGACAAAAGTATTATCTTTAATATAAAATTAACATTAAGTTTCAGTCTTTTCGGTTAGAAATAAAGAAAAATTTCAAAACAACAAAGTATCTCTAGCTGCAAACAGGACCTCACTGCTAACAGGACCATGCTGCTAACAGCACCACACTGCTAACAGGACCATGCTGTTAACAGGACCATGCTGCTAACAGGACCATGCTGCTAACAGCACCACACTGCTAACAGGACCATGTTGCTAACAGAACCTCACTGCAAATAGACACATGCTACAACAGGACCAAGTTGCTAACAGAACATTGCTGCTAATAGAACCACATAACTAACAGGACCACACCTCTAACAGTACCATGCTGCTAACAGGACCATGCTACTAACAGGGCCAGCTGTTAACAGGACCATGCTGTTAACAGTTCCATGCTGTTAACAGGAGACCATGCTGCTAACAGGACCATGCTGCTAACAGGACCATTCTGTTAACAGTACCATGCTGTTAACAGGACCATGCTCCTAACAGGACCATGCTGTTAACAGTATCATGCTGTTAACAAGACCATGCTGCTAACAGGGCCATGCTGTTAACAGGACCATGCTGCTAACATGATCACTCTGCTAATAGGACCACACTGCTAACATGATCATGCTGCTAACAAGACCACTCTGCTAACAGGACCATGCTGTTAACAGTATCATACTGTTAACAGTACCATGCTGCTATCAGTACCATACTGTTAACAAGACCCTGCTGCTAATGGACCATGCTGCTAACAGTACCATGCTGTTAACAGGACCATGCTGTTAACAGGACCATGCTGCTAACAGTACCATGCTGTTAACAGGACCACTCTGCTAACAGGGCCATGCTGCTAACAGGACCAATCTGATAACAGGGCCATGCGGCTAACAGCAACACTGTTTTAATAACTCTATTTTTTATATTAATTGCTTTTTATTGTATATTGTTGAGTGTACTTTATGTTTTCTGTCTAAAACAGGTCTCTTTTGAAAAAGAGTCCTCGTGACTCTATGAGACTAACCTGTATAAATTAAGTTTAAATAAAACTATTCTCAAAGTTGTGCATAATTTTTGACTTTACCAACCTTTGCTGCTGCAGCTCAAAGCACTCACCTTTCACGCGAACATGAACGCTCTGGATCTCCATCTTGTTGGGCTGCACCATCACCTTGCAGTTGTACTCTCCAGCATCCACCTGCTGCACATTGCTCAGCTTGAGTGTCCCGTTGTTCTCAAAGGCCCGCTGTCTGTGGTTGAACGGCAGCAGAGCGGAGTTCTTGTACCACTTGATGGAGTAGTAAGGGTAGCCAATGACACGGCAATGAACAAAGGCATCCCGTCCAGCGATTGCTGTGATGTTTTTCATTGGTCGGATGCTGGCGTGGCCTGAAAGAAAACAAAGATAGGAGAAAAGGTTCTCAATGACAACTAAGAGGAGATATTTTTAAAATAAATATATTAACTAAAGACTTTTGGAATTTACAGCTAAATGTGTTTTTCTCCACAGCTTCAGACATAATATCTGCTGGAAACAGCTGTTCTAAACTGATCTTGTAGTTGTTGCTAAGTATTAGGCAGTATAACAAGAAGCAGATTAAAGTGAGTCAACAATCTCAAGTAATGTTTAAAAACCCATGTAGTAAAGCTACTTATGTCTGTAATAATCATCATCTTCTTTATACGTTTAGAGCCTCATTCTGTACATATTCTAATGGAAAGATTAGTCAATTAAACATTTGTTTGTAAAAGATAAACAGTCTGCTTGAATAAAACAAAGTACACATAGACACAGACACATATTAATAGACTCTCACTCACACAACCACACAGGAATGTAACAGAGAAAACATAATTTTCTTCTAGTCATTTGATAATTTTCTTCTAGTCATTTGCAAGCCAAGATAATTAATTTACAGTAAAGTACAAGCAACGATATAGTAACAATATGACGAGAGAGTAACATTTAAGAAATAGTTTCATCATATTAAAGTGATGTTCAATCAAATAGTTATCGGTAGTTAGTACTTTACTAACTGAGACGTCAGTAACAGAGCACAGATTATAGAGACGAGACTGAAGACTGTCCAGGCTGGACTGATGGATATTCAAACAATGGTTCAGTCTTTAAAAACAACTCTTTCTTAAAAACGTTGTCCCTCTATGAAAGAATGTTATATTAGATAATAATAAATCTTGACAGTTTTGCATAATTTTGCTCGTTTATAGTTTGTTTGCTCAAACAAACAACAGTTGTGTCACTAAGTGAACTTATGTAGTCCTTTTTGAGAAAAAGTTATTTATAAAGCAGAAAAACAACATAAAACATGTCTTCACTTTCCATTAGCCTAGCATAGACAAGAACATCTGCTCTTTTCTCCAAACTACATTTGTTGATGTTATGGCTGATAAAGTACTAACTACTGATAACTTTTTGAAACAACATTACTCAAAAACACGACTGTCCTTTTGTATAGGATGGAATCAAAATGGTAGAACCAATGAAAAAGAAAAAAAGAAAATAAAATAGAAGCGTAAACACAAAACCTTTATGGTCATGTGCTTGTTTTAAGGTTTAACATCAATATTACAACGCTAAACGGTTCCAAAAGCAAACTATTTAAATAAATTTACAAACGAGTAAAAAACAAACTATGTTAAAAAATCCCCAACAACCCACAAAATACAATATAAATGCATATTCAAGTCCCAACCACAACAGTCACTCGTTGACACAGACACACAGATTGTATATTGTTGTTCTTGGAGGAGCTGATTGGACAAGCACCTCTTACGTTTATTCGAGCCTGGTGGTACACGACCCCGGCCGAGTTGCTGCACGTGCACCTATACAACCCGCCATCCTGCACCTGGGTGTGTGTGACATTGAGCTGGCTGACCACGTGGCCCTCGTGGGTCTCGTAGTGACCCAGGTGGTGGTGGCTGTCTTTGATGACAGGGTCGTCGTCCAGCGACCAGCTGCACCGGGGAGGCGGTGTTCCTTTGACGTTGCAGACCATGAACAGGGGCTCGTTGGGGTTCACCACTTTCTCACTGAAGGAGGACAAAATTTTGGGAGTGCCATCTAGTTGGGGGAGAAGATGGAGCATGGGGGTGAGTGGAAAAAAAGGAGTAATATTAATTAAAATTAAATGATAACTTTTTACAGAACTCTACTAATTATCTATTGTATCTCTTTAAAATAGTGATACAGGAGTTCCATATTATTGAATATACTGAATTAAAAACAAAGGAATTAATTAATAAAAATCATAATTATCTACATAAAATGAATTTTTTAAAAATCACCAAATTTACAATTTAGAAACAACCAAACAATTGAAACAACATCAACAAACAAAAACAGTATGTGTAAACTCTTAATTGGTAATGTAAAAAAAAAGAATAAATAAATATGTTAATCCATCCATCCATTGTGCATGCATACATACACACATACATACATATATGTACAGTATACATACATACATATATACACACATAAATACATACATACATGTACAGTATACATACATACATATATACACACATAAATACATACATACATGTACAGTATACGTGCATGCATACATACATGTATATATACATACATACGTATGTACAGATGTACATACACACATACGTATATACATATATACACATATAAACATACATACATACGTATACACACACACACATACAGACATACATAAATACATAAATTCATACATATATACACATATACATACATATATACAGTACATACAAATATATATACATACATACAAACATAAACTATTTCTATGCCATGCAAAGTGGTTATAGGATCAGCAGACATTTTATTTGGAAGCAAAGAGATAAAAATGAAAAGACTCAATAGAAGTAAATCAAGAAATGTTACAGCATGTAAGAAAAGTCACTTGAAATTAACTAGTTGCAATTAAACAATTTTTGCATGTTTTTTATATATATATATATATATATATATATATATATATATATATATATATATATATATATATATATATATATATATACATAATTAATTAATTAATTATATTTGCAACTTTCACACTGTGTCTTGTCTAGGACACAGAGTGAGACTTTATATATATATTTTTTTTACACCTCCACTCCCCCTCGTTTTTCTTTTCCTTCTCTGAAAAAAGGCTGCGCCTCTCGAGGCCGGCAGCCTCAGTCACTTCCGTCTCCCCATGTCTGTTTGTTTATGTTTCTCTCGGACGGGATGTCCTAAAATGTAATTTCGTTTTGCTTTGGTGCAATGACTATAAAGCTGATTCTGATATATATATATATATATATATATATATATATATATATATATATATATATATATATATATATATATAATATATATCATTGTAAATATTAGTTTTTGATCAGAATAAGAATCTTTAAATTTGTTAGTTTTCTTTGTTTGCTTGTAGTTACTTTTATTCTTTAGTTATAAGATAAAATGGTGATTTACAATAAATGAAATAAAGTTAAACAAGTTTACATATTTATTTTTGTCATCCACAAGGTTTGAAATTGCTTTTCAGTGCGCACATAATTGTTACTATTGCAGATGGACTACAGATATTTTTTCTTTTCACCACCTATAAAAAACATTTATTATCATTTATTACTGTAGGAAAATATTTTTTGTTCTAAGAAAAGCCATCCTGACTGGTCTTTACTAGGCCTTTGCCATTTGCTGCTTCGTATCAGACACAAAGAGTCTTTGGCTTTCAAGATGCATCTGCCTGCTGTTTCTCTCTGATAATCTCAGTCTATTCCACGTGATTATAGATTATCAATATCTTCTTCCAACAGCTCCCAGACCACAGGAGCTGGTTGCCTAAGCAACGCTGCTGATGTAAGGTACTGGACAACAGCGTGTACAGACGTGTTTTTGAAGCTTTTAATGGCAGCACAGAGTCATTGTGATGTATACTATGCGCTAATCTGCCAACTCAGATTACTCATAGAACTGCTGCTGCACTGTGAACTTTGTATGGATTCCTTCATACTGAGGCTTTTTTTTTACCTTCCAGGATAACCTGCACAAAGTCCTGCGCAGACATCTTGCCCTTCCTGGCAAAGCATTGGTAAGCTCCTCCATCACTTTTTGCCATTCCTTCAATGATCAGGTTCTCGCGGTTCAGCCCAGTGAAGCGAACGTTGTTCCCAGGGTAGATGATCTCTCCATTGCGATACCAGGAGATCTCATACTCATCTGAACCACTCACACTACAGGACAGAGACACCTTGCTGCCCACGCTGCCCTTGACCTTTCGAGGGCTGACCACCGCCTTCAATGGCTCTACAAACACAGAAACCAGAACATTTATTGAAAGTGATGGTGACAAACTGATGATGACGAGAAAAGGTCGAGAATGTTCAGAAGATACCTGACCATCATGGTAGAATATGAGGTGAAATGATTAATGGTTTGGTCATATGCTATGGTACAAGAATGCACATTTTAGCAACATTTTTATATAAAAACCAGGATCAGTGGATCAGTTTCAGCTACAATCACATTGCAGAGGTGTATTGTTCCACCTTATAACATACTTACGTCTGACATACAGGCGTCCCATGACCTCGGCGTTGCCATAACTGTTCCACACTTCACAGACGTATGTCCCTGAGTCACTGGGCTGTGCGTTTTCTATCAGCAACCCTGAAATGGTCTGGCGAAAGCGACTGTCTGGCTCCAGTGGGCTGTTGTCCTTCAGCCAACGGTATTTGGGCGGCGGGTATCCTGAGGCCTTACAGGGCAGCTCCACTCGACGATTTATTATCACCTCTCTGCGGTCAAAGCCATCCAAGATGGCTGGCTCAGCATTGGTGGGGTCTGGACCAAGCAGAAAATGTAGTGTTAATTAGTGGAGGGTTAAAGCCTGGTGCCAGGCAGTCTGATGGAAGACTGATTGTTGGGATCAATATTTAGCTTCATAAACTGCACATTTTATGTGGACTAGAAGAAGCTTTCTTTTCTTTTTCATCCATCTTTTCACTGAACCCTAAATGTAATATAAAGACTTAGCATTACTTGAAGCTTGATATGAATGCATATCACCCACTGCCTGTCATGCCACAGTTTGAAACTAAGAAAAGCTTAAGTGGGCTAATGATGAAGTTATAACCATTTTGGCCAAACCTTGAAAAAAATTAATTATTAATATAGCAAGATCTCACATTTAGAATATTTGTTGTTAAACAAATATATTGGTGTAAAATTGATTGAATTACAGTAGCCCCTCGTTTATTGTGGGGGATCTGTACCCTGAAGCCCCGCGATAAGTGAAAAAACATGACGTTGGAATAGTGGTACCAGTAAGTAGCAGTTTATTATAGTATATATACATATATATATATATACACACACATA